GTCCAACTCTTGTGACCCCATGGACTGTAGCCTGTCAGCCTCCTCTGTCGATGGGATTCTCCAGGCAAGAATATTGGAGTAGGTTGCCATTTCCTTCTCCACACTGAGTCTTGAGCAATTTATCAATCCTAAAGAGTCAGGAATGAGAGCTGGAGAAGATGTGGGGCCAAAAGGAAGGGCGGGGCTTCAGAGCAGGAAGATGGGCAGCCAGTGATGCTCTGATACAGATCACCAGGCGGGGCAGGCCAGTGGCTGTCTCTGACCACAGGGAATCAGCACACAGGCTCCCTGGTGGCAGGAGGGAGGGTGAGGGGAGTTGTGTGAGGTTCAGCCTGTGAGGGAGCCCAGCGTCTTGAGCTCATGCTCCCGCTGGCCTGAGAGAGAGAACCGACCCTTGACAGTATCTGCCCTTGGCTAAGATTTTGCACACTAACATTTGTTCTGGAAGGATGTACCCAAATTAAAGTTTATAAAGACTAAGGGCAGGAAGTGGTGTTCCCACAGAAGTTCAGATTATGTAATGCTCTGAAGGAAACCCTGAGCAGAGATGGGGAGGGCAGGCGGGGTAAAAGAGGAGGCAAAAATGAAATACCAATCAGCGAATGCAGAGCGGAAGAGCCCGGTGGTGGTGCCTGGGGCCCATTAGCATGTTCTTAGAATTGGTTTTGGTTTGACTTTCTGTCCACTGCAATGTATCATTTACTGATACCCAAGTTCTGGATCAGGACCTATTGAGCAGATGATGTTAAAAGGTGCTTCTGGCCCTTCGCATGGACATGGGCCCGGGAGTGCCAGCCCTTGGGTGGTCTGTGCAGTCACCTGTTCGTGTCTGAGTTGTTGGCTGAGCACTTTTCTGAGCTAGGCCCCAAGTGGTAGGGGACAGTTGGGGTCACAGACTTCCTTGGAAGGCAGAATTCCTGAAAACGTGACAGACCCGGAAGTTTCTCAGGCTGCAAAGCATCCTCAGAGCCCCAGTGAGTGGTTTTCTAGTGTCAGGAGGGCCCAGGGGGGCCTTAACTGACCAGCAGGTATAGGTGTGTGTGGGGGGCAGTGCCCAGAGGGCCTGGAGGCCTGAAGCAGGAATGTGTGAGGGTGTAGCTGGAGGGACAGGGCGGTCCAGGCAGGAGGAAGGACCCTAGGGGATGGCCCAACTGGCTGTGGAGGGCAGCAGCTGGCCCAGTGTGGGTCAGGCCCGACCACAGAGTCGGGGTGATGGCAAGCAGTGGTGGACTAAGGTTGGACCACAGGCCTGGCCAAAAAGCTATGGTGTGGTTGGCAGGTTCTAAGCATCTGTGCAAAGGCACAGCCCTGGTTTCCTGGGCATGGTTCTCATGGCCTGTGGGAGGCAGAAGGCCCTGCTTAGCACACACAGGCAGCAGGCACACATGGACAGCAGGCCCACGTGCACCCTAATGCCCCCCTCAGGTTAGCCTCTGTTGGCTCTGGGGTCTCATAGCCTGTGTCCTCAGCCTGGCTGTGCCCTGGGGCTCTGGGGGCCCTGAGGATCATCACCCCCAGCCTCCAGTGTTTCACCTGCACAACAGGGAGGAGTATGCCTGTGAGGCCAGGCAGTGCAGGGGTGACCCAGGCAAGGCTGGACCACGGGCCCAGGCATATAGGTTCTGACGTTGCTTCTGTTCCGTTATCAAAAGCAAACTCACCACTCTCTGCTAGGGAGACTCTGGAGATGATCAGCACCTGCAGGCCAGGTTTGCTAAATTCTGTTAACAACAACATCTGCCAATACCGCATCACTGGGCATGGCGCCAGACCCTCATTCTCTCGTTCATCACACGATTCCCAAGAAGTAGCTGTTGTGATTCCCAGTGACAGGTGAGAAAACTGAAGCTCCGAGGTCTCCTGCATCTCCTGAAAGTCAGTAAGTGTTGGGGATGGTATCCAATCAAGTCTGACCCCCCAGCACAGCACTTGTGGGGCTCAGCTCCACCCTCTCACTCACCATGAGAGACAGGACACTTCATTTAACTTCTGGGGCATATTTCCTCATTGGAGGTAGGCAACTTCCTTGCCTGCTAGGAAGTGGGCAAAGGCCATACAAGGTACTTCACAGCAAAAGAAACACAGTATCTTACAGAAGTGCAAAAGCATGTGTAATTACAGAGGCACATTCAAAAGTGACAACATGGGTTACACATCAGATTGGCCAAGATAAAAACCACACAGTGAGAGTGAGGACGCGGGGAAACACCATTTTCATTGGCTGTCGGAAAGTGTTAGAAATTCACGTGACCTTTTGAAGGGCATTTTTTCAGTATCTAAAAACATTTTACACGTATATACTTTTAGTCCAAATTAAATTCTGAGGGAAAGTATCCTAAATGTATATAAACACATGTATATAAAACCCTACTTACAAGGGTTGTCATGGCAGCACAGTGTCTGGTTAAAAAAAGAAATCAAAGACTGTACACAACCCAAATGTCCATTTTTGGAGGAATTGGTTAAATAACCCATTCATATTCATACTATGCAGCCCCAAGAAGGATGGATCTATATATGGTGATAAAGTATACTATGTAAAACATGGTCTTATGAAAAAAAAAAAAGATGAAGTAGAATACATGTTTCATTTTGTAAATGAAAAAGTAATTGTATAGATGTACAATACTTCTAGAAGGTTTCTCATAAATCTATAAAGCTCCTGCCCTGGAGGTGGGAAGAAAGTATCCTTTTCTATTATGAACTCTTCAAACATTGCTTAAATTTTGTTTTGTTTGTAGCTTGTGCTAAAGAGTGCCTGTTGTGCTTGCTCACCCTTTGGAAGGTGTTTAGGTTGGGGTCTCAGAAGGGCGTTTGATGGACTCTATACCTGCCACTCAAAGGGGCAAACTGCCTTGACTTGCCGGCTTCTCCTCGCTGGTGAAGGGCCTCTCTGTCCGCATGGCAGATGGGCTGGTGAGCTCCCGCTGCAAACACAGGACCCTTTACCCCGCACTCCTGTTTCCCTGGAGGCACTGCAAGTCCCCAGAAATAACTGGCCCACTCTGGGCACCCTTGGAAGGTACACTTGGTGGCTGTGCCAAGGCCATGTGACTCCCCGAAGCCACGGGTATCTGGAGGGGTTGAGCAACAGCTTCGATGGAATGTCATTTGGCACTGAGCACAATCCTCCCTGCTTCTGCCAGAGGTAGCACATTCTATATAAAGCTGCCGGACCTGGCCATCTCCTCACTGAGCCTGATCCCTCCCCACCAGGGGCAAGGCACTGGATTTCTGCACATGACCCCTCCTCAATAATTGTGGCCCTTGGGTTTATGCACCCAGTTGGGTGGGGGAGGCCTGGCTGGGAGGAAGCAGCAGGTCCTCTCGTTCTAATCTCTGGTTCTGGGGGTGGGGTAGTGATGTAAACTGAGACAGGAAGGATATAGACACATCCTGCCTGAGTTAGCAGGGGTGGTGAGAAATAGAGCCCCATGGTTCTCCCACGGCAGAGATCCTGCCAGAAAGTAAATCCTAAGGGTAATCTGGAATGGTATGCAAGTAAGGGCTGCATCTCCATCGGTTCTGGAGGAGAGGTGTTTGCAGTCATCCGTCAAGGGTCAAGGTCTGAAACCTGAATCCTGGAGATTCTACCGCTGTAGAGGGGCAGGGTGAGTGGATGGGTTGGGGGAGGGCAAGGCTCCCTAAGCATGCCCGTCTCCTCGACTGGAAGGATTGTAGGCCTGCACTTCCTTGGTACCTGAACTGGCCCCGAGACACACATACACACTAAATAGTATCCGATTCACACAGACACACACTCACACACACACACACAGAGGTATACACGAACTCACAGGAGCTCATGGATTCTCAGTATGATAAAGATGCTGGAATTTATCAAGCGCTAAACATGTGTTCATCTCTATGCTGAGCCACTGATGTGTACCAACTCTCACAGTCCAGACAGGCACACTATCCTCTTATTCCCACAAAAGGTGATGACACTGCAGCCAAGGGATGTCGGCTTGCCTCAGGGTCCTGTGATAAGTTGCACACACGGTCCGGAAGCGGGCAGGGAGGAACTCGGACACCTGGTGGGCACACACAGGGCCATGCACACAGAGAGGCACATGCGGCACAGAGGCGGCCCAGCGGCGCTCAGCCAGGCTCAAGCTTGCTGCCTAAGGCCACACGGCCATTTTTTTAAAAGACATAAACAAATGGAGTGTGTCTCCAGTACCCATAGCCAAGACCCTGTTAACTACTAAATGTGTTACGTTATAGATTCAGAGTCTCCTCTGACAGTTTCTAAGAATCAGACCTAGCCAGGGTAGGGAGGAGTGATCAACACTGTCTTTTGTTTGCTTGCTAGTTTTTTAAATGAAAATTTAATGTTTATTGCAAAAGCCCAATGGCGGGGGAGAGGGTGGGGTTGGGGGAGGCCCAGTAACGTTTCAGAACATTGCTTTTGAAATTCACAAAGAACCCCAGCGGGATTTCCTGTCCTTAAGAAAGCAAGTGCCGGTTTTAAAAAGAAAGAAAACAGGCTCTGGAGAATTACAACCGTCCCAACGGTCAAGGCGAGCCAGCCGATCCCCGTTAACATCCGCGTGTGGCTGGTTCCCGCCCGCCTGGGAGAGGAGAGGAGTCGGAGTTAGCAGAGTTAGCTCCGAGTTTCTCAGAACGCGCCTCCACCTTCCTGCCAGCGCAGCCCCGAAAACAAGTTGTTGCGCTTTCTCTCTGCGCTGCTTACCGATCTGCCTCTCCCTCTTCATTCTCTTAGGGGAAAAGTTCTGGCCACAGGCACTTCCCCACCACCACACAAAGAAACAGAAAACCAGCGGATGGCCGCTGGGACGGAGGTGGCCTCTCCAGGCCCGGGGCGCGCGGAGCCCGGGCGCCAGACTCGGGGGACACCGACCCCGCGATGCCCAGGGCGCTGCGACGCCCGGCTTCCCGCTGGGCGAGGGACCCGCGCGACCGCGTCACCGAACCTCGCGGGAAGCCGGGCCAGCCAGAGCCACAGCTCGGGCTCGCCCCCCGCCCCCGGCGGGCACTCACCTTGCTGGGTCGTGGTCAGCGGCAGCGGCGTGCTCATCGCTGACCGGCGCGGGGCACGGCCCGGCGGACCGTGGCAGGGGTCGCGGTCGGCCGCTCCTGACCCTCAGCAGCCGGAGGAAGCGGCACCTGTGTCACACTCCTCGGCGCGGGCCGCGGGGAGGGGCTCCGGCCGGAGATAGGCAGGCTTCATTTAGTTTTTTCTGCAGACTTGGCTGATGGGGTTCCCACCCATTTTTTTTTTTTAAACACATACACCCGCCCACTTCTGAACTCTTCTGTGCTCCGACTTTCCTGCGCGGCAATCACATTTTTCTAACTAGTTTCTGTTTCTATCTGCAGCTAACAGATAGAGGTTGTGTTTGAGAATTAATTACCTTGTGTGTGGGCTGAAAAGCCCGCAGACGTGACGAGATGGCCTTCCCCGATGGCCTTCCCCGCCGCCACGGTCCGGGCCGCTGACCAAGGAGAGCCAGACTCACGTTGGTGTCTTGGCGGATCCCCTGAGGCCTCTCAGAGCCGCGGAGCCTTGTGGCCTGCGGAGTGTTCCTGGCCTCCTCGTGACTTAGGGGAACTGTTCCAACCCATGGGCTTGTGTTTGGGAAAGATTCTTAGAAAAAGGGGGTGCTGGCTAAAGACCCTGAGACTTGTTTGGATCACCTTTGTCTGAGGCTTTCAGATAGAGTGGAGTGTTTGGAGAATTCACTTTATTAGGCAATTAAAAACTCAACAGGGGTTTTGACACTCTGATTAAATGAACTCTACCCATCTCAACCAAAAAGAATATTGTCTGATATATAGCACTATATTCTCTAAACCCGGCAGAGAGAAAGGCAGGTAGCTTCAGAAAACATCACCTATATTTTAAATCCCTGTCCAAGGAAACACCCGGGCCTTCTCCTGTCTTACCTTTTCTGCGGAGTTTTCGCTGCTGTTTACCGGACAGTCCTCGTCTCTGCCGCGATCTCAGGGCACGTTTCCAGCGGTCTGTGCAGTGTGTGTGCAGCTGGGATTACATCCAGACTGAACACAACTCAAGACTGCTCCCTGGAGGTGTGCAATGCAGATGATCTGCCCGTTTCTCCCAGCCTACGCCACTCCAGGCGTCTTTACTAGAGCTGCCTGTTTGACACACTGGGAAAGTATTTCTAATTCTCTTTAGTTAGATAATGTTTATAGAGCTTTAATCAAAATTCCACACTCAACATGTCTTGTGTTGACAAGAAGTGAACTCTTCACAGAATGTCTTTGGCCAGGTATGGAAATTTTGAGTCTCAGTTTCCCTATCTGTAAAATGGGAGACAAGAACAATTACATTCCCGAGTTTTAAAGAGGCGATGTCTACCTAATGACAGTGGGACAAAAACGGCATTTAATAGAAGCTGGCAGTGATTAGTGTAACAGTTAATACATGTAGGTTCATGTTGGTTAATAGCATCGCCTGTGTTCAGATTCATAAATAAAACAACTGCAATTATCTGAATGGCAGCTGGGGAATTGAAACCAAAGACCAGCCAGGTAAGCAAAGACTGAATCCCGAGGTCATTGCACCTTGATAATGGGAGGACATCCCAGAACCTCACTTACAGTTAACTGGTCTTTGGACATAAGCCTAAGATTTGCTTGAATTACTTTTTAGTGAAAGTGAAGTTGCTCAGTTGTGTCCGACTCTTTGCGACCCCATGGACTGTAGCCTACCTAGCACCTCCATCCATGGGATTTTCCAGGCAAGAGTAATGGAGTGGGTTTCCAGGTAGGACAGGTTAAAAGCACCAAAAAAAAAAAAAAAATGCCACAAATCCCTTATGGACAGGAAGCCCAAAACTAAGTAACTAAACAACTCAACAACAAGAGTAGAAAGCTGAACAAACTATTCAGATGAGCTACAAGAATAAAGTAGCGTTCTAAAGCATCTCAGCTCCATCCTTAAGGAGAGAATGTGACTGTGCCCTGGGCCACCGAGGAGCTGAGGTTTTGGGACTCCATCTGGTTCTGTGACTTTACTGCCTTCTAGCTGGGTAACACTCGGCATTTCGCTTGACTTCTCTGAGCCTCATATTTCTCATCTGTGAAATTGAGGAGATCTGCAAAGGTTGGTTGTTATGAGTGATACATTAGCCAGTTAATCATCAAACAGACAATATGATGTCTTACTCAGCACATAGGAGTTAAAGTTATCTGTTCCCTTCTCCTTCACTGGAACACTTGGTTTATGGTAAGGACCCCAGGCAAATCTGAAGAGAAGGTAAATAGTATTTAATGGTCTATGGGGTCGCAAAGAGTGGACACGACTGAGTGACTAAGCACAGTATTTCATAGTGAGTAGTTCAGCTAATAGGGACATGTTTGATATTTTAGAAGATTAACCATGCAAGTGCCTCATATTAAAGAAATGAGGACTAGTTAAAAAGGTAAAATCATTATATGAGATGTTAGATAATATGGCAAGAGTCTGACATTAAATCACAGAAATGCATTACTAGTGTATCTTAATGTGTTAGATATTTATTAATGCGGTAAAGAGCTCAGCTCTGTCTTGAAACAATAAAGCAGTTCTTACCTCACTTAATTCCCAGGAGTACCTTCAACGAGGGTATTGTCAAGGGCCCGTTTTATTTTTAAATTAACTTCTTATTGGTGCACAGTTGCTTTTCATCGTTGTGCGTTTCCCCTGTGTAGCAGAGTGACTGGCCGCGCACACGCAGATCTCTGTTCAGGCCTCCCTTCCGCTGAGGTCCCTGCGGAGCGCTGTGCGGCGGGTTCACCGCAGTTAGCCGTTTTACCCAGAGCATCGACAGCGCGTCATGTCAGCCCCCACCTCCCAGTGCATCCCTCGCCCCTTTCCCTCCTGAAGGGCACATTTAGGGGAGAAAACTGAGGCTGGGACAGCAACGAGAATGTGATCACGGCAGTAGAACCAGCATTGAGTCTCAGCCCTGGCAGACCCTAACGCATGTCGGGCAGGGTTGGTGTAACCCTCCTACAACCTCCAAGGGATAGGAAGGTGCGACGAGACGGTGTCGGGGATTTTCTCTTCCTTCCAAGCACCATACAGGGTAGGCGTTGCCCACAGGAGGTGTACCCCTGCCTGCTTTATCCCCAACCCAGACCAAAATGCACGTGCTGCTGGTCCCCTTCATAGGAGAGACCTGTATGCAGGTCAGGAAGCAACATTTAGAACTGGACATGGAGCAACAGACTGGTTCCAAACAGGAAAAGGACTGTGTCAAGGATGTATGTTGTCACCCTGCTTGTTTAACTTATATGCAGAGTACATCTTGAGAAATGCTGGGCTGGAAGAAGCACAAGCTGGAATCAGGAGAGAGAGAGAGAAATATCAATAACCTCAGATATGCAGGCGACACCACCCTTATGGCAGAAAGTGAAGAGGAACTAAATAGCCTCTTGATGAACGTGAAAGAGGAGAGTGAAAAAATTGGTTTAAAGCTCAACATTCAGAAAACTAAGATCGTGGCATCTGGTCCTATCACTTCATGGCAAACAGATCGGGAAACAGTGTCAGACTTTATTTTTCTGGGCTTCAAAATCACTGCAGATGGTGATTGCAGCCATGAAATTAAAAGACACTTACTCCTTGGAAGGAAAGTTATAACCAACCTAGACAGCATATTTAAAAGCAGAGATATTACTTTGCCAACAAAAGTCCGTCTAGTCAAGGCTATGGTTTTTCCAATGGTCATGTATGGATGTGAGAGTTGAACTGTGAAGAAAGCTGAGCACCAAAGAATTGATGTTTTTGAACTGTGGTGTTGGAGAAGACTCTTGAGAGTCCCTTGGACTGCAAGGAGATCCAACCAGTCCATCCTAAAGGAGATCAGTCCTGGGTGTTCATTGGAAGGACTGATGTTGAAGCTGAAACTCCAGTACTTTGGCCACCTGATGTGAAGAGTTGACTCATTGGAAAAGACCCTGATGTTGGGAGGGATTGGGGGCAGGAGAAGGGGATGACAGAGGATAAGATGGTTGAATGGCATCACCGACTCACTGGACATGGGTTTGGGTGGACTCCGGGAGTTTGTGATGGACAGGGAGGCCTGGCATGCTGCAGGTCATGGGGTCACAAAGAGTCGGACATGACTGAGCGACTGAACTGAACTGATGAGTTCTTAGAGGCGGAGGTGGACAGATTTTACTTGAGTCCTTTAATTTTTTAATTTAAATGAACTTTCTAATAAAAAGTTTAAAAATTCTAATAAAAGGTTTGTCCTTCATCAAAGGAATAGATGCTCTTTGTGTAAAAAAACTAAATGGAGAGGAAAGAAAAATGAACCCAAGTCTAACAACTGCTCGGAAGCTCTGGTATGTGTCATGGATCAGTCGCTCAGTTGCGTCTGCCTCTTTGTGACCCCACAGACTGTCGCCTGCCAGGCTCTTCTGTCCATTGGATTTTTCAGGCAAGAATACTAGAATGGGTTGCCATTTTCCTCCTCCAGGGGATCTTTCCAACCCAGGAATTGAGCAAGTGTCTCCTGTGTCTCCTGCATTGCCGGCAAATTCTTTACCTGCTGAGACAGAATCAGAGAAACCCTAATTTCTGGCATGTGAAGGTATTTTTATTTCTAGCTTTTTTTTTTTTTTTTTTGCATTTGTGGACCTTTGTTCTGTACTACTGAGATCTTCCTGACTAAAATTCCCAGGTGGCACTAGTGGTAAAGAACCTGCCTGCCAATGCAGGAGATGTAAGAGGTGCAGGTTTGATCTGGGATTGGGAAGATCTCCTGGAGAACATGGCAACCCACGCCAGTATTCTTGCCTGGAGGATCCCATGGGCAGAGGAGCGTGGAGGGCTTACAGTCCACAGGGTGAGAGTCGGACACTGCTAAAGTGACTCAGCACACATATCTTCATTTCATGTATTTTTCCCTCTTAGCTAGTATTCCACAAGTGGGATTACTGAATCAAAGAGTCGGAGTGTATTTAAGGCTTTTGATATATTCATGAGCTATGCTTATAACAATTTGTATTCCCCCTAATCAAGAGTGCCAGTGCTCATTTCAGAATTAAATGCTAGATTTTAAA